ATTCTAGCAGGTTAGGGTGTGGCCTGCTATTCTTTTCTAAGATAATTAATCTGATACGCTATATAGCAAACAGAGTGAAAAATGTCAAGCGATAACTATTGCAGATCCGAAAGAAAGAATTCAAGAGTACATTGATCGCTACCAAAAGGACAAGACCTATACCGCAAGATATAATAATCCTTAATATTTCCTATCTATTATCTAATTGGCTGTAATAACTAGGGCCATGAAGCAACATTGATGAGTGTGATGCACGTAATATCTGCTTCGCGAAATGATGTAGAAGGCAAGGGAAATGAAGCAGAAGCAACTTTCGAGCTTGAAGTCATACCCCAATTGTGCAATCCCATGAATAATATGCATGGTGGCGCGATGGCTTTGCTGGTAGATATGACTACAACTATGGCTGGAGCTCCTATCTCACGACAAGGTTGGTGGGAGTTTGGCGGGGTCTCTCGAACTTTGAGTGTCACCTACGTTCGCCCAGCTCTTTTGGGTACTACCGTGGCTGTGACATGTGTTCTTAGGAGCGTCAGCTCAAGGCTGTGTAAGTTCGTCTCGTTTCTAGATCATTCGATTCGTTTTACAGAGCTAACTTTTGACGAGCGGTCACTCAATTCATAGCGAGAGACAAGGTAACTGGAAAACTGCTCGCACTTGCTGAGCATGGCAAAAGTGCACTTGTTGCGCAAGTTCATCCAGAAAAGGCGGGCCGTCTGTGAAGCAATGCACACCACTTGGGTTCTTTCACCTATGATTTGTAGCCACAAAGTTTTGACTTTTTAAAGAATATGTCAGATTTTCCAAGTAGCGAATTCATCTATATTCAGTATGTACTCTGAACCGAAGATATTATTGCTCGAAACGTCCAAAAATTCAAGATCTATGGAGGTTTAATATGCTTCAGGTATCTCCAACAAAGCTAGAAGCAGCCATAGTTTCACATTCAGGAGTCTCAGATATAGTTGTCGTTGGAGCGAGGGTGTAAGTGGTATCACGAGTTTTGAATTATATTCGTAATGTGTGCTGACATGAATATAGGGATGATAAAGAATATTCTCATGCATTTTTCGTCAACAAGGATGAGGTCATCACTGCTAAAAGTGTTTCTGGGGTTGCAGAACATATATTCGCAAAGCAAAAATGGCTTTCTGGGCGTGTGGTATTTGTGAATGAGCTACCAAAGACACCAAGCGGAAAAGTCATGAAACACCGGTTGACTGATTTACCTAAAGAATTTGACAAGCTCTAGCCCTGAATTTGGAAACATATTTTTCAATGACATATTAAGTTGTGGGTCGTGTTGTAGGATATCGTTTCGAACAGTACGTAAGAACTGGGAGGTCATTTTGGCTTCGATAAACAATATCCGCTACCCTAATCCCAGATCGTCACCTGCTCCTCGATTGACAAGCTCTGCAATGCCCTACCCAGCGTTGGATCTCTATTTCACAGGCTACCCTACAGAAATCACCTTGCCCTTTACGGGGTACCTTGTGAGAACCTTTTCTATCTCTGATGAGTCCTACTAATTGGGTACTTCTTTTGGCTTCGTCTCTCACAAATTTGAGAACTTCGCTAAAGTCATATTATTCTCTAATGATAAATGCAGGTTGAGTTCCAGATACCAGAAGGACTACCTCACAAGCAAAGGGTTCTCGGAGATGTGAGAAAGACAAGAGCAGATCAGTAGTGATTAAAAAGGCCCGAAAGATAGACTCATTTCTATCACCTATGACAAATGCAGAAATTCAAATGTACAAAACATCACTTTCTTGACATACAGGCTCTGAGTAGGCCCCTAAGATCGCTAAGTGTAAGACAGATCGGCCAACAGCCAATAAGAATTTTTGAAAACGTATTGATAGCTGTTTGAAAGCGAGTCTGCTATTTGTCTTATGTTATGCAACCGCATTATAAGTGTTATATCTATCTACAAACTATAGTTAACTATTAGACCTGGAGCAACAGAACTCTTTGTTGATCGACAACTAGTTGCCTATTTACCTGCTACTAGGAGAAAATATTGAACTTGGATATTCCAATCACATTATTCATTATAACTCAATACAGGGTGCCTGTCCAGTCCTGCGCAGCTCCAGACGAGGTAGCAGCATTGATGGGGCCAGCCAAGTTAACTCCAGAATTAGTGTAAATACCAAATGGATCACCACTGTCCTGTTTGGGATCGTAATTACAGTTGCCAGTGGATGGGGGCAGAAGCTGCCAGTACAGGTGAGGCAGACCAATAGAGTTCATATTGGCCACCTCAGAGACAAATGCTTCCTTCTGATCATACTTTTGAGAGTCAATGCCCCATTCTTCAAGATAGACCTTTTTCCCATTAGCTTGTTTGATCCAGTTGGGCATGTTGGCGCTCCACTGGCCAGGCACACTAGCGCAGCGGTGAATGGAAATGGCGTCAATGGCATCGCATTGAGTGACAGCAGGGAGAAAGGTGCATCCGTGCGAAATGTCCCCGCCTAAGCCACCAGTAGAGATCAGGATACGGCTCTCGAGTCCTGCCTTGCGCATGTGTCTAGCACGGCCACACATCCAGCTGGCAGGGTCACCATTTTGGCATTGACTGGGTCCAGGTGTCATGGGTTCGTTCTGCAGCGCGAGATTTACGTCAGGAAAACTGGAGCTTATCGGATTCAGAAGACTTGGTTGGGTGAATTTACCTGAATATTGAAGCTGAAAATGGCCTGAGGCCAGTTCTTCCAGACTTTCCCAGAGTATACGCCCTTGTAGTCGAGAATGTACGACAGACGAGCGTCATATGCGTCGAAGGCTTCTTGCTTCTGATAGAAATAACCAGCGCCCCAACGAGCCCAATAGGCGTCCCTTGACGATGTTAGGGGGTTGTGATCTTGATTAACATGTGAATAAATCAACTTACTTCCTATAGTCACCGATCAGGGAGTTCGCATCGTGAGGAGAGATGACAGCTTTTATGTTCTTCCCAGACAACTTTACTAGAAGCTTATCCAGCTCATCCAAAGTTTGATTGTTGTATTTTCCAATAGTGGTTTCCAATTGTGGGATATCCTTGACAAGTTGGCTTCCTTTGTTACAGCCCTTGTTAGCCTGGTTGACCCAGAGCCTGACAACCTTAACGTTGTAGGATGACAGGGTCTGGATATAGGCATCCTGAGCAGAGTCTGACATGGCTTGCAGGAAATAATTATTAGTACCAGACCATGAACCGGAATTGGCCTCTGTGAGTTGAGAGAAGGTGGCGAAAGCTAGCCACATTATGGCAAACAAATCCTTCATGCTTTCAATTTGTCGCAAGAACAGGTGAGAGGGTAGATTACTCTTTAAAGATGGTGTAGTTTGTTCTATCTGATCCAGAGGAGACTTGATGAAATTTATAGTTAACAAGAGGGAACCTGTTTTACACTTAATGTGTGCTTAGAAATTACTCACAAAGTTTGAACACGCACATAGAACATTCAATCCGGCCTCAGGAAATTAATACGAGATGGGATAGTTGTAGACTAACGACTTTGAAGTTCAACTCCGACCAACATGAATCGAAGGTCAGACTTCTTCGCTGACCAGCCAATCGTTACTACATGGGTCACGAAGATCTGGGGCTCAGTAAGTAGCTGGGCTTCTGATACTGTACTAGACTAGACTAGGGTGTAGTGTAGGGGGCTGTGAATAGTACCGGTGCTTTGCCTACTTTAGGCGCTCAGAAACGTTTGCAAATTTGCATCAAGACTAGGCTAAGACGTAAATTGCATTCCGTGCTAGATACCTATTTCCCATCCGCCCTCCCAGTTCCGATGCACTGGTGCCAAGACACCAGTGCGCTAATTTTAGCTCTCATATCGTGTTGGGTTCCACCCTACGTAGTACTATCTCGTTTTGAGGGGTATCCAGTGTGCTACGTTGCACATTGCAACCCATTGCTTGCATGTTTTGTAAATCTCTAACATTTGGGGATATTTTGCTCTTCATGTTTGCTCCTGTGATATTTGCAAAGGATAAATCCCGACTTCTTTTCCCATAAGGGTTAGTTGGTTTATCTAGGACTTCAAGTTGTGGCGCACTGACCACATGCGAGCAATGGTACCCCGCTTTCCCTTTACAGCTTTGGCCCGGGTCCTTTTCTTAGCAAGCCAAACTTGTCACCAACATCAGGACTCTCTTTATAATTATGCTAATTATTAACGTTTTGATTGCATAGTAGCCCCTCGTGGTACCGCCATAGGGACAAGGTCTGTCACAGTTCTGCAGTATGCTGCAATCCCTCTGTCTGCCGGAGCAGGTGCGGGGTATTTAATATTAACACAACCAAATGATAGCTCGATACCATGTAAATTCTGCTGCATATTATGTTTTCTGTGTCTCATTCTGCAGTTCACTCGTACTAAATGAGGTCTAGCAAACTGTAGATGGTTATGCGTTATTATTATTATTATTCCATTATAGTCCTGTATCAGCCGTTGGCTATGTAGGACTTTGGCCGACGGCCGTTCTA